TTTTGAGTATAAATGATTGGCCGTATATTTACACTTTCAGGCTTAGCTGATTAAAACTGCCCCGAGTGAAGTTTTCAATAAGCACTGAAAGGAACGGCAGCCAACGGCTTGGATTTTTTTTTTTTTTTTTTTTTTTTTTTTGTGCCCACAAAAGCAGGATTTGGTGGTAGAAATAGCAATTAAAGCACTGAAAAAATATATAAAAAATACAGTGCTGCCGATACCATTCGTCTGTATTTAGATTGCATATAGTTTTGCCCGAAAGTGATTCTAGTTGCTATTTGCACCCATTTTTTTCCCAACCATGATGCAGAAATAAGATCTAGCAGATAGGATGTGGTATTCTCTTATACGGATCACACTATTGTCCTCTCAAATGGCTTTTCTGAGGTTTCATTAGGATTTCTAGTAGCAGTGAAGTTTCTGCACCGCTGCTATCCCTTACGTGCTCGCAGACACACACAGGCCCAATCCTGTGTGTGGTTCTGTGCTTCATTATGCCCCTGTTCCAAACTTAAGCTGGAAGTCGTATTACACAATCACTGCTCTCAGTATGACTTAGGGCTGCACGAAGCATAAACCCAGTGCAATAGTCTCGGTTTGCATCATCTGCCCGTATCTTCGGGATTGTGGCTAAATAATGCACAATATCATAATTTTAGGATCAGGATGGTTAAATATTTAACAGAGAGGAAGGGCAGTCACTGTTGTCTAACAGCCCCTGCAATACGAGGTGGGTATTGCACTCTCTGGCTGCAGCATCTGGGAGAGGATTGTCAGCTCGTTTCCTCAGTGACTGGCAAAGCCAAGGAGTCACAGCAGGGGCACAGCTGAGGACAGAAGGCAGGGGAGAGGGATTTTGAACCTCAACAAAAGCGATGTCAGCTCTTTAGATCAGATTTCCATTCCAGATAACGTGGGCTCATCAGAACGGTGGAAGTCCTGTCTGCTGTGGCAGCTAATAGAGGGCAGAGCTGCAGTTTCTGTGCTGCAATCCCTTCCTCACACATTCCTCACTGAAGCACAACCTGCACACCTCCTGGCAGAGCCAATCCCCCACTGTAGGCGCTTCTACTCAGAGAGTGTCATTACGTTCTCAGAGAGTCTTTCACTGCTGTAACATGACATGGCCAGCATTTGTCATGTTATCTGCTCTCCTGTTGCCAGGGGGAGGAGCATGTGCAGTTGAATGTTTTGAGTTTATCTTTTTTTTTTCAATATATGTATTGTGTGTTTACAGTAGTGAGGCAAGGTCAAAGTCATGTATTTTGTTCTCCAAGCACTATGTGGTTGGTTGGGCTCCTGATGGCCCTTAGCTCTTGGGTGTATTCATCCCACTGACTTGCTCCAGCTCTTGAGAAAGTGTATCTCTATAAATGTTAGCTTTTTCCCCTAGTTGTGTAAATTCTCTTGTGTCAGGTAAGGGAAACAGCTGACACAAGGCTGTAATCTGGAGACCCAGGCATTTCTTTGGGAAACCTGGATTTAGGCCTTGGAGGATCTGGAGACCCTAAATCTGTCATTTAAAGTTCTATAGAAAATCAGTATTAGGTGGGAGAGAGGGACTTTTGGGGGGAATTCACCCCTGAATTCACATACACCACTGAGATGACATTCCCTGTGGCTTCCTATACTTGGGACTTCCCTATATGGAACAAGCATCACACTTGGATATACCAAACTGCCAGGATCTGTCTGTGAGGTCACACAACCAAAGCAAGGTACTGATCTCCCTGAATGGCACAGGAGCTCCCAGCTCGTCAGGGGTGGTTAGAAAGCTGGAGGCCGTCTTTTGACCCAGGCACGCATTACTTTGCAAATTACCTTGCTATGTGTTTTTAAGATTTATTTTACAACCGTGAGGATTAGAGGAATTTGTTGTAATGAAAACTGGCATTGTGTCATTACTGTGTAACTGTGTAGCTGGATTCTTTGGTCTGCCTGGGTACTTGCATATTATTCCATTCTCTTCTGGTCCAGCTGCTAAGTGAGTTGCACCAAATGGAGGCCACCAAGGTACATCCAACATGGAGCAGTTATAATAACATTTTCAAGTAATTGCACATCAGCTTATTATTTGGGTTCCCTGTTTTGGTATGGCATATGTGTGCATAGCCAGGGCAAATTCCAACTTTTTTTTTTTTTTTTATTTTTTCTAATTTAAGCCCTGCCTTGCTTTTGGTGCTTATCCAGCCTTCTTTGCTGGATCCCTGTTAGAGATTTACCAAGGCCTCCCCTCAAACCTCTTCTGAAAGTTTGGTACTAAATTATTAAGTTTCTGCTTGATAATCTACTCTAATAATCAACTGTAGTTGAACATCTCCTTTCATTTTTGACTTTTCTGCTTCTTTCTGTGGTCATTAAGTCTCTGATGTATCCTGACAAACATAGGATTTGGAATTCATTGCTTATGCCATTTCAGGTTGTCATGTAGCAAGGACTGAAGTGTGCACCATTTGTTATTGTACAGTCATTAGACTGCAATGGCAGTGAAAACAAAGTTCTGAATTTGCCATTTGAGAGCTGATCTAGGGATCCTTCTCTTGGTATTCAGGACTGTAGGAAGTATGTGCTAGATTAGGACGTACATCTGCTTTATTAAATTCCCTATATATTTTTTTTGCCCCCAGTGTCTAAGATGCTTCACACAGCATAAAGGCAGCTGGTATAATCCAAAGGTTGGGCTTACGATACTTTCCTTAAGACCTGACAGTACTGACTCTAACACAGCCATAGGCCTGACCCATAAAGAACATATCCTTGAGGCCTCAGGAAACATTTGCTATTACACTTAGGTTCTGTGGTGAAGTTTTGCTAAATCGGCCTCGCTGTAACTTCTAAACATTGTAAAAATTCTTCTGCATGTTAGTGGTTGTGAAATGTGCTGGTTCGTTATCTGTGAAAGCTGAAGCCCATTCTTTATGGATTAATTACAGCAGAGCAGTTGCCAAGTGATCTTCTCCACAGCACCCACGAACTTTGGCCTTACATGAAGAGGACTCATCAAATGGTGAGAAAATAAGTGTGGTTCTCAGGGCTATGAATTATTGAGGGGATGCTCTATTATTTTTTTTTTTCTTGGTATCAATTCTGTTATTTAACTGGCATTAAAGTTAGATTGGTTTTGGTAGGGTAATTGCTGGGGCCAGAACCTGATTTCTCACCTTCCCACCCGCTATTTCGCTTGTTACTTTCTCAAGCTTTATCATCTTCTTATCCATCCTGGACTTTTCCAAATAATTGTTAGAGATACACTGAATTTATGAGCTATTTTTTTATTTCTTGATTTAGCCTTAGTCCTGTGCATGTGCTCAGCTGTGTCCATAGGAGAATTTCTATCAGCACCACCAATCAGTGCAGCACAGCTTGGATATGCAGAATTGTTGGAAAGACTGAAACTCAGACTTTGCAAATATGTATTCCTGCATTTAATTGAAAAGCTACTGAAATTAGTACAGGAGTGAGAAGTCTGGAAATGCTTTAGCTAGCACTAATTTGTTTGCTTTTATGCTGTTCAATTCATTTCTTTTAAGACAGCGTGATGTAAATTGTTCATTTGCTTCTCTAGTTTCCTAATTTCTGGGAAATTTTGAAATCTGAGCTTCAAAACGTTTATAAAATTTTAGTAATGCTCATGATTCTCATAAAAGGAACAAAACGTTATTGTGTTTAACCATTTTGTGAGAAGGGAACTGAATCTAGAGAGGAACTAATTCTATCAGTAACTCACTGCCTTAGTCAGGTCTTCAACCCTTGCTCTAGCTCCATACCAACACTAAGTAATGATTTTTACACATGGGATTATTAAGCATGCATTTTAAAAAGAGAGAATTTCCTTTTTTATAGCTGTATGTGAAGGGTGGAATATTAGTAGTGGGAGAGGACATGAGAATGTGACTGTTAAGCACTGGTACTGGCTTCCTGGTAGTTTAGAGAGGTGACAGCTTAAAATAACGGTGTATACAATGATCTGCAGTTTAGGAGGCAGATCACAATGACCAGAAGTTCACAGGATGCTGAGAGATGTCCCTGAACTTTGTTGGTTCACTGTTTTGATTTCAGTGGCTCAATTTATGTTTTCCTCCAGTAACTGTATTGTAGAGTAAGGAGTAAAAGGGGCAGAACCCTACTAGCAGCTTACGATCTCCGCATTTCCTCCTCCCTTTATGATTGCTACCACAGAGATTGGAATATTGGCTATTAACCCTCACCCTGCTCTCTACCAAAGCAGGACTGGAAGCTCAGGTGTGTTTACAAGGCAGAAGAAATGGTGAGCCCTTTATACCAATAACCGAATGACTTCTTAACTCTGTGTTAAGAATTACTACAGTACTGTCATCAAACACTGAACTAATTTAACCTTTGTCAAAGTTAGTTACCATTTTGCATATTAAAAAATGAGATTTAATACTTAAGCCAAAAAGAAGCAGCAGTTTTCAGGCAGAGTGCACTGAGATATAACCCAGAGGTCATTTATTTTTAATCCTGATTTAATTTTCAGTTTCTTTTTTTCTTTCTCGGGCACTTTCTTTAGTTTTCTTTTTGAAATCCATTTCCAGAATTAACTTTAAGCGTTTAATTATTGGCGCTCTGCTTCACCAAACAATTAATCACATACCTAAGTCATAATACTTGCACGAGGCCAGCTTGTAAGAGAGAAGTCTGAATGCACTTTAGTCCCTCACGTTTTGTACTTGGGTTTGCCTATCTGAGAACCAATAGGCTGGATTCAGCCCAAGTGTGAGTCAGCATGTAAGCAGGGTAAGGAGTTGGGGCTCGGATCTGTATGCAAGCTTGGTATTACAAACGGAGTGAATGGTTTCAAGATGATTTACATTTGTTTTTTAAATTTAAGCACTTCAGTTGTTTAGCTGAGCAGAGTTTAGATACTCCATATGCTTAAAGTTAAATGCTTAAAGATAAGTGGCTTAAAGGTTTTCTAAAAGCATATTTGGAATTGATGTAATTCTTTTACTTCAATAGAAGTTGGATGGTTCTGAAAATCCCATTTTTATTACTCTGCTAAGAAAGTAACGTTGTTTCTTTTATTCCATCCCTTTTTTGTTAAGTCGTTTTCACTTCTGGTCCTATTCACATTGTTTCCTTCTAACCTGTCCTGTAATGTCCGATTTTCTATTAACTTTGCTATGCTGACTATTCTTTGTCTCTAGAGCAATAGAAAGGGTATGAAGAGCACAGTGGGTGGCATTTTTCAAAAAGGGAACTGAGACTTGCTTGTTATTACAAATTATTCTCTAAATTGAGATAATTAGGAAGCCAGGTAGCAGTAGTAGGATTTTAAGGTGATTCTTTAATAACCATTATGCTTACTCGTTGAAAAACAAAGCAGAAAAACCCACTGAGTAGATTGATTCTTTAAAGTTAATATCAGTGTTCTGTTACTAAGCTGTGTGTCACTGAACTTTTCTTAAGCCTTGGGAGATACAACACAGAATTGGAAGAGAAGCATGGATCTCCACGGAGGGCAGTCCGCTGCATTCTTGGTAAGTTCAAAACATATGTATAAAATTGTATTTCTGTTAAAATTTCACCTTTATGAATTGACATATATTTAGGGTGCTTTGCACAGGGACAAAACAAAGGCAGTTTTATGGAAACGGTCTCTGTTCTGTGGATTCTTTCATACTCTCACCCTGTAAAAATCTGTGTTGTGTTATAGCTGAGTTTGTGGTGTGGCTCCTGAATGAAAACAGTAAATAACATAAAATTCATAGTTATTTTCACAATGATTATACAACTGTGTTTTCATTCCCACTTTCTGAATAAAACAAGATAGATAGCAATGAGTTTTCTCCCAGTAACTTTTCAATCCACTGCTTCATTTGAGCTGTATTTGATACAGAGATAGAGGTCACAAGGTCAAGTTTCTACAGTTTCAATGAAACTTAGTGGATGAGATTAGAAAAATGACTCAAATTTGTGCCCCCAGGACAGAAAAAGCTTCAGCATGGATATTTTCTATTCCATTCAACCTGCTGCCTTGCAAATTAGCATCACTGGTTGGTCGACAGTCACAGTGTGAGTTGCTCCCAGTAGTGAGAAGTTGGTGTTTTGTGAAGAAATTTAGGGAAATTATTTAGGAGGGAGTGGGAATCCAGCCAGGGTAATGTCAGTTTGGGATTGCTCCACGAGTATTTTGGGGCATGTGCAAGCACATTAGGAAGTAACTAGACTTTGTTACTTTGCTGGTCATGAAAGAAACCCTTGTTTTTGCAGTCTCTTCCAGTCTCCCAAACCAATCGTGTATCCTTCAACTTCATGGTGGTCTGTACCTAGGTTAGATGCGTGTTTTTCCTATCCTTGTCAGAGAAGGGAATTGTTGAGGCATTTTCAGTATTTCATTTCTTTGATGGTTTGAATGTCAGCTCTGAGATATGTGTCAAATTTGTAATAGTGTTTTTAGCTCTTCTCAGAAACTGACTGTCATTTGGACTGCAGCTATGTGTCCCTGACCTCTCCTACAATCTGCACTCTAGGAGCAGTGCATTGTATTCCGGTTAACTTCCTTACTGGAGAAAGATGTGGAGCTAGGCAGCGGGGCAGAAAGCAGTATTAGGATCTGGCTGCATAAATTACCACATTGCACTGCATCTTGGATAATGCCAGTGTTTCCCAAACTTCGTAGTCATGGGCTCCTAGAGAACTGACTGTCCCCAAAAGTATAGTCTGCTCACTCTCAGTCAGTAAGAAATGGTCCATTACACTTGCCAGATGTACCAGTTCATTGAGGTAGGCTCAGGTGTTGGTTCACACTTGCAGGCTCAAGCAGGCTAACGTGATGGATGTCTGGTATTTGTAATTTTTTTCTATGTAACATTAGATGGGAGAAGCATTCAAGGCCAGGCTGGATGGGGCTTTGAGCAACCTGGTCTAGAGGGAGGTGTCCCTGCCTATGGCAGAGGGTTGGAACTAGATGATCTTCAAGGTCCCTTCCAACCCAAACCATTCTATGATTCTGTGATTCTGTATCTTAAGACACTTTTTGAACAGAGTTTAGAGCTGGAGCACTGATCTTTAAAAAGAGTTGAATTTTTCATTTTAAGTCATGCGTATAAACCAAAAGTTTTAAAGAGAATAAAAGGAGAAGAAACATTTCAAATTCAATAACTTCTAAGACAACTGCCTTGAAACTTGTTGTAATGCCTGTATGTTGAAATGTGGATTTCAAATTTTTGCTTGTCCTCCTGCCCAGTTAAAATCTTTATGCCTGGCAAGGAACAAAAAACTGTGATACTCTTCTCCATTTTCTGTTTGTTTACAAGTCTGCTGTTTGACAAAATCACAGCCAGTAAGAGAACAACTGATTGCTAAAACAAAACAAAACAAAACAAAAGTAGAGAAGAAAAAAAGACTGCATTCTATCTTTATGGAACTCCTGATTCTTCTGTTAGAGTGTCAGATCCTTTAATGTGTTCTTAGCTTTAAATATTGTTGTTTCTTTAATGGTATCTAAATTAAAGGAATGAAGAAGTGTCTTCAGCATGTTTCTAGGATCTAGTTCTCATATCCTTTATCATCAGTGCTCTTGCACAGTGTCACCAGTTAAATATTATTTCTTGGAAACCATGGTTAATGTGTTTGTAAATGTTTTATGATATAGAAAAGCACTGCAACTGAAAATAAAATGCCTTTTAAAGATCAACATAGATGTATTTTTAATAAGAACAGTGAGGTCAAATCATAAATGTTAAGTTTTGTGTGAATAGCTAAGAGGTGGTATGTATTTGTTTAACATTACATTTGTATTTCCTGCATTTTAAATAGTTTTCCTTAGGAACTTAAATTTAGGAAATGATTGCAGTTGATTTTTGTAGGGATTTTTTCTTTAAAAAAGATCACTTTTAGTCTGCTAAAATTGACTGCTGTTTATCCTGTGTTTTCAAATAGTATAGTCTTCAATGCTGCTATATGTGGCCAGATGTTTTCATAGAATCACAGAATCACAGAATGGCCTGGGTTGAAAAGGAGCACAATGCTCATCCAGTTTCAACCCCCTGCTGTGTGCAGGGTCACCAACCAGCAGACCAGGCTGCCCAGAGCCACATCCAGCCTGGCCTTGAATGCCTCCAGGGATGGGGCATCCACAGCCTCCTTGGGCAACCTGTTCCAGTGCGTCACCACCCTTTGAGTGAAAAACTTCCTCCTAATATCTAACCTAAACCTCCCCTGTCTCAGTTTAAAACCATTCCCCCTTGTCCTATCACTGTCCACCCTCATAAACAGCCATTCCCCTCCTGTTTATATGCTCCCTTCAAGTACTATGAGGCCACAACGAGGTCTCCCCAGAGCCTTCTCTTCTCCAAGCTAAACAAGCCCAGTTCCCTCAACCTTTCTTCACAGGAGAGGTGCTCCAGCCCTGTCCTCATCTCGGTGGCTCTCCCCTGGACCTGATCCAAGAGCTCCACATCCCTCCTATGCTGGGGGATCATGATCATGAAGACCTCAGAAATTCACTGACCTTTGCTGTCTCCCCTGTATGCTGATTTTAAGCAGACTTAAACACTAAGAAGCAACTATGACAATGGCTTTTTATAAAGTAATAATCAAAAATACATCTAAATTTCTCCTTCAAATGCATATCAGTAAAAGTTCCCATAATGTGCTGCTGCTACATGTAAGGCCTGTAAGCAATTTTAAGTCAACATTCTGTAAAAAAAAGGAACTAAAAATTCCTATAAATAACGTATAACTTGAAGATGTATGGAACTCCTTTATTATGTGCTAAATGCTGTAATAAAACAGGCTATCAGAAGGTTTTGCTGCGTGTTACTAATTTGAATTTCTTTTTTTTTTTATCCCAATATTTTTGCAGGTGTGTGGAGGAACGGGTCCTGTGCTCACTGTTGTTACTCCCACATAGGCGGACTCTGTAACTGATTATATGTGGGTAGGGCCCTATTGAAATTAAGGAGATTCTGCAGTAGTGTGGGGTTCTGTTTGTGTGACCCCACTGTGCCTTCTTACTGTGAATTCTGTCAGTGTATCATGGGTTGTGCTGGAACCTGCCTTTTGGGATAATGTAAGTTCTGCTTTTCCCCCAACTGTACTTTAGACGTGAAATAATCATTAAAAAAAAAAAAGAAAAAAGTGTTGAATTAGAAAATAAATATAATTTACATGCATTCTTTTAATTATGTTTTTTTGGCAGTACCAAATAATATATTCCTCAAAACTTCTTAATGGCACTGAGGCTTTGTGGATAGTTGGTCACATGATGAGAAAATTCAGCTGTAAGTACACTGAAATGATTGAATTTTTCAATAGTTAGTCTTTGCTGATGTTGACAAGCTTAATAATGATAAAAGGGTTAATCAAGAGGTGTGATTTATGTGCGACCCTGGTTCTTTTTAGAGCATACAGACAATATATATCCATTAGGGATATGATTATTCTTGGGTAATTTACCACGTGAACCTGGAGTCCTTCAGCACTGCTGTTAGGTAGGGAGTTTAAATTTCTTTATTTCCTTTGCTTTCAGAACAATGTGCTTCTGACCTGCTCTCTATCTTCACCCATAAAATTTTCCAAATTTATAGATCTATAAAAACTGTTTATACCACCAGTATTTGGGTAGCTACTGCAAGCAGATTTACTAACATAATTGTCTTGCTGAGATGAACGTTGAAATGTTAATAAATACATACTTATGTTCATGTCAAAGTAACTTGCTTAAATTAAACTAAACTGATCTGACGTTATGAGTGGCAATTTGATCACACATGCTGATTAATTATAGTCTTCTTAGGCAAGAACTATATATTTTATTTTAACTAAGCATCCCGTGCTTAATCAGTAATAATTATCCATACCCTCTGTCAGTGGATTCACCCAAAATAACTATAAATATACTTGTATATTGAAGAGGAAGTTTTTTTCTTGTATCTATGGGTACAGGCATTGCTATGATTCCTATTTTTATATCCAGTGAGCAAAAATTATGTGTAGGTGTTTTACCTGTATAACGCTAATGGCTTTATAAACTCCATGCCCTTTTTTATGATGGTGTATTTCCTTTCTGGTGTTCAAGTACAAAAATGTTCTGAAGGCATTCTTATATCTGGAAAATGGAAGAACTAGAATTGGTATTGAATTTGTGAATAATTATTAATGAAGTGTAAAGCTCTAGAGGTTTTGTAGGCATGGCCAATTAGAGATTCCTCAATATAGAATAAAGATGCAAATAGTGATTGGGTAGTAAAGATTAAGGGATTGTAGAATTGTTTTTTTGCTTGGCACAAAAGTAACATGCAATGAATTTGAAGAAAGAGCAAGACCAAAGAAGAAATCATTAACAGATCAAAAACAAATTGAGAGTCCAATTAACAAAGAAACGAACAAACAAAACACAAAAAGAAACAAGGAACTGAACAGAAGAATATGTGGCAGAAGGAGGACTGAAATGTGTAGCTACTGGTACTTTTCATTTCATCAAGCATCTGGTTGATTTACCTATCTATTTAATTTAAAACTTTCAGCAAATGTCTTTCTCTACAGTTCTCTGCAATTTTTTGGAGAGGTTGTGTGGGCTTTGGAGAGTTAGTGATTGTGAATTACTTGTATAAAAAGAGTATTTGAGATGACAACTGCAACTAAGAACAGAGGTCAGTGGTCTACATATGCTAAAATGTGGCTAGTGCTAAGCAGAAAACAGAGTTTCTTGTTCAAACTGATAACCATGTTAAGTTTTAACATCTGGAAGAGAGCTCAAAACACAATGTGATTGTTTTTGTTACGGGATGTTTGGTGCTTCTTTTATGATTTCTGAACACGAAATGGAGTTATTTTTCAATATGAGATGAAACCATTATTTGAGAACATTGAATGTTTCTTTTGATTAATGAGAACACTGAATATTTCACTTTGCACCTAAAATCTTGATTTTTTTTTTTTTTAATGCATAGTTCTAATAGTTAACTGTTCTCATCTTTCAGTTCTATGTGCCATATTTATTCTTACTTCCCCTAAGTTGTGCAAAGGAAGGAAAAGGAGAGAGAGATCAGGTGATTGCACAGCAACCAAACCCAGTCTCCTATGTTCACAGAATCACAGAATGACCCAGGTTGGAAGGGAGCTCAAGGATCATGAACCTCCAACCCCCTGCCACATGCAGGGCCACCAACCTCCCCATTTAATACCAGACCAGGCTGCCCAGGGCCCCATCCAACCTGGCCTTGAACACCTCCAGGGACGGGGCATCCACAGCCTCTCTGGGCAGCCTGTGCCAGCACCTCACCACTCTCTCTGTAAAGAACTTTCCGCTGACATCCAACCTAAATCTTCCCTCCTTCAACTGAAAACCATTTCCCCTTGTTCTGTTTTTATTTACTCTTTCAAAGAGCTCCCTCTCCACAGCAGATAAAAAAAAAAAAACAAAAAACAAACAAAAAAACCCCTCAGAAAAGATCTAGTTTCAGAAGAGAAAAAGAAGCAAGGTGATATATTAGTCAGTGGGGTATGAGGAGTCCCCTGGATGTTTCATGTGTCCAAGTTTTTCAGTCATCTCCATGGAGGGCAGCTCATACACATTTGACTGCATCTCCTGCCTGAGAAAGCAGCTCTCTGTGCTTTGAGAGAAAGAATGCAGGAGTTTGGCTCTGTTCTGCTTAAGGTAATGCTGCTACAGAATACTGTTTGGAAGAAAAGGAACTCTGAATTGTCTCCTGCTGTAGGTCACAGTACTCATGGCTGCTAACCCCTGTGGTTGAGCACCTGATCTGCTTGTTTCTTTGGTTCAACCCATTCTGTGCTGTTGTAAATAACTAAAACTAGGAAACAGCAAGAAAGCAGACATGAAGAGATTCTGTTGATGTTGGTGGAATATAGGGTGTGGGCATTTGCTACATGGGCACACTTTGTGTAGGTTTGGGAATACTTCAGGAGCTGGAAATACCAAACTAGAGCAAAGGAGAGTAATTTTCCTTCGGTGGCAAGCTGAAATGATAGCGTTGGTTCTATACAATAACAAGGAAGAGGAAAGGAATGTGCCTGAATGTTCACCATGTTAGTTGTTTTAACTTTACGCTGCAAGATCTTTTTCTCCACTGCTGTTTGTGCTTGGCTTGTATCACCACTGTCCTGTCTTTGAGCTGGGTGTAGCATGTTTTTGTTTGCTGAATGAGGCACCCATCAAATTACAATGTCATGAACATTATTCTTCTTCAACCCTTGAAAGTCAAAACATGGTAGCTCAGGTAGCTGTAATATCCTAGTAATAAATGTGGCGTGAAAGAATCTTCTTATTTCATAGTACAGGAAGAACAGTGTTTTCTGTGTCACTTCATATACCTCCTTCCATCTTCTTTTCTACTCCTAAGCAGATCTAATGCATGAAAGTTTTCTTCAGTGTTGTCCTCAGTTCTTTATTTCCAGTTACAACTTTTGTTAGTAATTTTCTTGTATTTAGGTTGGAGTCCTCACAAAACTCTCTGCATCCTCAGTAAATGACACCATCATGCTGTTGTTTGCTTTAAGTCATCAAATCAAGGCGAAATCTTAGTTTTCAAAATCTTTTTCCAACCCTTCAGGGATGCTCTTTCTTCTCTGTTGGTTGCTTGTATTTTTCATCCCGGTTTTCAGTGGATCATATCTCTATTAGAAAATCTTCTTTTGCCTTGACAAATGTAGTCTTGTCATTATGTGTTCCAAGTGCTGCTGTAAATATCAGTTTCCAAATTTATTCCTTTGCTTTTTAAACTTCCTCCTTCAATTTAAAGCAGTAAAGATAAGCTATCTGTCTTTGTTTTCAAGGCCCATCAAGACTACTTCTACCTGATACTTTTCCTTCAATATCAAGAGGTTGACTAATTTTGATCAACATATGATGCCAGCTTCCATCATTCAGTTGTTAAATTTTCACACTGGATACTTTCTCCTCAGCTGCCTCTCATGTACTGATTGACTCTTCCATGAACAGAACTGTTTGCTGTCTTCCTTTAATATCTTCTTAGAAGCTTTATGTACTATGAAATTTATGACAGTCCAACTAGAAAATAAGTGTGTTGTACAAGTATACTAATACCAATGCTTGTCGCAGTAATACTTTGCCTTTGTACTCTGCAGTAATCTCTATTGTCTCTTTACGTAGAATTCAAGCATGTAGACTTTTTGTTGTATGCTTATTCAGCGTAACGAGAAGTGATCCAGGCTGTAGCCTTCTAGGATTTGTTGTAATACAAATAAATAATAATTGAATACTCAGTAGATACTGCAGTGTAGCCATTGGATTCTGCTGAGCCTTGAGTCACATCATATTTGATGCAGAGATAAGGTGCTCCAAATAGAGGCCTCACAAAAGGGAGAGAAGTGAGTTTCAGCCAACACAGAAAATGCTAGCACCCCAGAGGTCTTCTCAGCTGTCAAACCCAAGTCAATATCTACTGGCATTGTGTCCAGAAAGCATCCCTCTTTATCTTCTCCACAGCAGTAACAGCAGACTCTCCCTCCTCAGAGGGAGTTAATGTGAGTATTACAAAATTCTCCAGTGTATACAAGAGATTAAAGGACTTCATATACTTCCATAATGTCCTTCTGCTCCTTAGTGCATTCCCTTCCTGACACAGCTTCTCTTGGCACAGAAATCTTGTCAAATGCCACTTGGTTCTCTGTTGAGAAGGAGCCCACACTAGTTTTGATTCAGTATCTAGGTACATTTTTGCCTCATATTGCTCTGTTTCCCTGGTACCTTGAAGATAATGATTATTCAGAAGAATGGTAAGTGTGAATTGCAACAGGAATTCTTCAGGTATGTCAATGTTTCTGGAAGTGGGCCTGCTTGTGTCCCTTTTCCTTCTTTCAAAGTGACACTAAAATGGCAGCGTACAGATGATAACAGAGATGATGAAATGTTAGTGCTTTGCTGATAGAGAGACAATAGATTGGTCTATTGGGCTCTATATGCTAACTAGTCAAATAAGTTAAATTTATCAGGCTAAACCATACAATGTAATTACAAATGGTTCCATATCTGAATAGGAGAAGCCTGGCAAGAGCTCTGAACAAACTGACAGAGTGGACACAGTACTGCAGTACTGAAGTACTGCAGGAGGCTAGAGTGGCTATACAGCTGAGAAGCTTGATAGTAACAAGAGTTTTCAGTTTTCAGAGTATGGTCTGGATAAGCTTAACATTAGGCCATCATGCATAAGCTGTGTTTTTAACTTCCATCAAGGGCTAACTTTTTAGCTAACTATCTAGAGAATCCAGTAGAACGGGGACTGCTCTTGATTTTGTTTAGATTAGTAACAGGACTTAGTTGACAAAGTAACTATAGGAAAGACAATTGGTAGTGGCAGATATCAAACTGAAGTTTGTCACATTTGTGTGAGAGAAAATGATGAAAATAAATAAACAATCCAGTATTGTTTAACTGTAAAAAGGAATTGCATACCAATGAAGAAATCGTTCAAGTAAAAATTATAAGAGGCCATGAGAGACACAGAGTGTTTGTTTTCTAATTCTGATCCAAGTGAATAAGAATTCATGACAACTGAGAAGTAAGGGAAGTTACTAGGAATAAATAGACGTTTTTCAAAGAGTGAAATTCACACAAGCAAAGAAGAGAAGAGCTTCCCATTCTGGGAAGCTAAGCGTAGATCTGTTGTAAGGAGGGACAAAAAGATTTTGAGGAGAAACAGGCTAAAAGCAAAAAGTAAAATCTATAAGCGTTAATTTTTCAGTTAATTCTGTTAGCAGGACACTGAGTTTAAGAGATAGAATATTTAAAGGCAAAGCCATTGCAGAAAGAAACATATGGACAAACCCTTGCATTGGCAGTTCATTCCAGGGAGATTAGGAACAGTCCCATATAAAAGTTGTTCTTTATAAGAAATATTTCAATTTTTAAATACCAATAAAAGATTCTTGAACAACTTGATTAAATAGGCACTAGCAGATTGCCAGATAGCACGTTGTTCCTTCAGTAGTTTTAGAGAAATTCTGAAATGAAACTGGTTATCTGTGAACTGTGTTGTATAATCCATCATTTAAATTGGTGTTGCTGACAAAGGAATGGAAAGCAGCAAATGTGACACCATTTAAAAAGGTCTCTAGGGATGATTGTGGACTAATGTACTAATAAGTCTGACTTCCATGGCTGGCAAAATGCCAGCAAATGTGATAAAGAATATAATTACTAGGAACATGGATACCTTTTTGTACAAGGTAGTTTTGTCTTATGGCTTTGCTTGTTACTTGAAGCAGTAAACAGATACATAGGAGTAGGTCACCCAAAAATTTTTTAAAAAGGTCTGTCACCAAAGAATGTTAACACAGTGAAGTGTTGAGATGTGTAAGATTCCTTGTGGATTAATAAATGGTTACAAGATAGAGACTATAGCAACTAATGGGTGGTTTTAATGACACCACCTCCCAGCAGTTTGTACTGGCACATTTTCTGGTCCACCTGTCCCTAAATGGTATGAAAAAGTGCAGTGATAATGCTTAGAGATGATAAAAGGTTACTGTGCATTTGGAGTCAGAGCTGACGTTGGCCCTGAAGAGTTGCAGAAGGATCTCACAGCACGGGCTGTGGTGCTGCAGGAGCCACAGCCATCCCAGAGGCCAGGTATGGCTGACCCACTGTTAAACCAGACCTGTCAGCAAGAGGGTCATCACCTCCTCATCTGCCAGCTCCGCAGGCTGCAGCCAGCCCTGCCGTTCAGGAGGCAGGGATTTGCAGCTGTTCTAACAGGGACTGCAGCATGGAAGTTCTACTTCCCTATTTCTTAGGGTTTCACAGCCTTAGGTGAGCTTGAAATTCAGACTTTGATCTTGGAATTCCTGCCTGTCACAGAGGTGAAGTTTAATTGTTAAGCTGATGGGTGCTGTCCGGGTGCTGTGAAAAGCCTGGTTTCTCAAGCCCCTTCCTAATGTTTGTGTGGATTTTTAGCAGCTCCTGCTGATTTCCTGAAGTCATTCTGGATGGAGTTGAGGCAAAATGGTACTTGAAACAAAGGAGTCATGCTGGCATACTAGTCAGTTTTGAGCACTGATGAGAATTATGAACAATATAGACGTGGATGATGAAGATGTGGCGTAGCTATTGAGCAGTAACTGAATCAGGATTCTTCTTTTTGGAAAAACATCGGCTGAGGAGTAATAACGTAAGGAAGATCTCTGAAACCATGAATATGGGGAAGTATTTAATAGCAGACTCTAATTCTCTATTTCTTAGAACAGAATAACAAGGAGCCCTTGGTCACTGTTTTCTGTATCTTAGGTGTCCTTTAAGGCAGCAGAAGGTACCAGTTTCATCTGCTGTAGCTTTGTGGCACAAAACTGCACATCTCTGTTTGTCCTGGATCAGCCGTGGCCAAAATCCAACCCATGTAGAATTACAGCTTTTCTGTAGATAAAAGTTTGTAGGCCTTATTGTCTGATGATAAATTTTTAAATATGAATCAAATGTAAATCGGTCCCTTTTTCCTAAACCTGAATATATGTATATATATATATACGTATATTTATAGATTTTTAAACTATGCTTCTGTCTAATCCTGTGTCTGTAATGTTATGGTCATATTGGCCTTGCTTCTGTTTACAAATGTATGGGCAAAGGCGAATGTCAGTTTGCTGCTACTTCAGAAAGCCAGAAGCAAATAGCAGGTCCTAAAATCAATCTCAGGGGAAATCAGATAGAAGAGCAGAAATGTTTAAAACAGCAACCAGAAGGTCCGGAGGGAGGGAGGGAGGGAGGGAGCAGGGAACATCATCGTATTTCTGAAATAGCAGGAATGGTTTCCAAGCTGTGGTCTACTAACCCCTGATGGGCTACAAGGTAACTTGGATAGGTTGAACAGCAATTGGGCTAAACCGTATCTAATGGTGTTTTAAACAGCCCCTTCAATTAAAAGTTTTATCAGGTGGGCGTGTGCTGTTTTGTGAAAAATGTTAAGGGCTGACAGCAATCACTTGCTCCAGAAATTTGGGCTCTGCTCTTCTGGTGTGTATGAAAAGGTAGAGAGCGCTGCCTGCTTTTTCAACATCAGATAGGCCGCGTGCCTCTGCAGGAGAAGCAGCAGCAAGAGGTTCCCGGAGGGAGCCAGGAAGATCAAGCTGGTAGCAGTAACCTTCTGTTCCACCACGTCCTTCCCAGGAACTAGTAACAGAACTGCTGCTTTTTTAACTGTTGCCTTGTCCTGGGTATCACTAACAGTCTTTGCTCCTCTTCCTTTCCATCTGTGCTCGTGAATAGCGGATTTAGTGGCTTGAGAAGTGAGGATTGGATCCCCATCGCACAAAGATTAGACTTCTCAATCAAATGAAAAAATATATACAGCTTTGAATGCTTTTCTGATTTTCTATGAACATCAGCAGGTGCAAACTTTTCTTCTGAGTATTAGCTTGTCTTATTACAAGATCAGTTTATTACTCTAAAAAAATCCACTTCTGTTTGACTGTGCTCTTTAATTTACATAAGCTGCCTGGATGGTAATTGTAAAAACCTTCCTCTTCCTCCTATCAAGCCTCCTATTCTTAATATTATCCACACTGACAATTTTCCAGAATCGTAATGTATTTATATTAGCTATGCTTTCAGTTGCCCCAATGTAGGTTACTTTCTGTCATCATAAATACCATACAAGCACATCAATAAATAATTTGCGGAGATTATATCTTTTCCAACATATTGTGCATCTTTTTAGTAACCACAGTGGTGTTGAAGTGGAGAAATAATAATATTATTATAAATCATAAATTCAAATTATGAATCTTATTCAAATGGTATAAATGTGTTTATCCTGAAGAAGTCTATTGTCTAATCTAAAATTAGATTGTAGCATATGTGTTATATGAAATGTAAACAAAATAGTACTGGAAACAAAAGTTACAGTAATAATGTTCTAAGGGAATTAAAGTAGTTTGTCAGGCTAGCATGCTCTGTGTAACCCTTTTTTGTTGCATCTTTCCTATTCCTGTTTTTTTATACATATGTAGGAAGTGAGTTTTGTGAATGCTTTTATATGGTTGTTATTAATGTTATATTATTATTACTAAATGTCTTTTGCTAACTGATATGGTTCTGCAGTTACCTTTCAGTGTTCTAATATGCATAGTGCATATGGTTGGTTTGTCTTGTTCACGTGCACAGGGCTAAGCTGGGTATAAGGTCAGGAGGAAATCTCTGCCTTGTGTCAGAAAGAAACAAGAGAGGAGAGTGTTTTTCTACCACTTTAGCATGGAAAAAAGTTATTTACCAGTGTTGTCTGGGGGTGATTGGAGAGGATAAATATGCCTATAAGCAAGGCATATGGGTACAGAAGCAGTGATGGGGTATATGGGTAGGACTGAAGATCAGTGTATAGGAGTAAAGATTTAGTGGCAGGGATCAGGAAAGGATTCCTGTAGGAGCTGGAGAGGTCACAGCTGGATAAATGCATTGGGGTCAGCTGGAAGTCAGTACCCCAAAAATGGCTATGGCTCTCCACCACAGGCTCACTGCACACTTTCTCTACCTGTTCTCTCCCACGTCTTCTGAAATCCCAGCTTCTTGTCTGATTGTGAACTGGAAACCTTACTTTCCTGCTTACTCCAGAAACAAGGACACACACTAGTACAAAAGGCCCCTCAAACCCCTCCTGGGAGCAAAATAATGCCTCTGCTTCACCAGATATTTTGCATCTTCTCCAAGTGGGATGTAACCCATCATTTGAAATCTGCTCATCAAAGAGGAGTTCGTTCACTCTTCTTCCCCCTATTCGTTAGAATGTGACAATTTTTTTTTTCCTTTGTGCTGAAATACGGTTTTTTTGATAATGTTTAACTTACCAAGAAGCAGAACAGTTCAGGATTTCTAGAGCCTAATCTAATTCACAATTCCTTGTGATCTAGGACCTTCTTAAAAAAAATAAAAAAATCCAGTGGATGATTGCACCTACTGCTGATACGTTGAAGCTTTCTGACAATATGCTTCATTTTTTAAATTACTATTTTGCAGCCCACTTGAAAATTGTTCATGAAACCGCAAGACTCTGCGGAGAGATTGAGAGCCACTTTGTAAGGGGATATCTTTAAATGCAAGTTACTGTGTTGGTGGTTTTTTGAAATTCAGGTGTTGGGTTTTTTTCTTTTATCCCATCTGTGAAACACCAAAGTGTTGATAACCATCTGTGAAACAACATTTGATGTAATGGCTATGACACTGCTTTAGAAATCTTGTGAAATAGATTGTGTGGTTAGAAGAGCTGACATCTAAAAATGTATGTCATGGATGTAGGTAATAAATGTTGCTTGGGAACTGTTTCAGGGGAAAAAGAACTTGATTTGTGTACAATATACTGGTCTTAACTTTTTAGCTCTTTAAAATCTCTTTCTTAGTATTTTCCTTTATGTTCGTTGTAAAGTATTTAAAGATACGAGTCATTGCATTTGCCGAAGTATTCAGTGCACCATTTAAAATTACTACCAAAGGAGAGAGGTGGATTCACTTCACATAACAGCTAAGCATAAAAATAATGATTTGGAAATAATCGTGTGGTTCCAAAGCAGTAAAAATCATTTTGTTTTTCTATATGAGCAGAGCTCTGCGCAGAACGGTGATCTCATTCTACCTGACCAGATTACAGTTACCTACATAGATTTTCAGTACTAAACTTTATCCTGGTGATTTTGTAACTTTATTCAGAAAAAGGGAGAAATGCAAACACTTCAATTTTAAGTAATCGCTCTTTGTCCGTGGTAAAAGATTGCAAGCACAAGCTTAGTATTTCCCCCCAGGATTGGATTCATAGTCTTTCAAGTTTTGCAATTACAGGGAATGTGCAGGTGAATAGGGAAAAGCAAATGTGAAAGGAAAAAAATCAGATGGAGAGGAGGAAATTTCCCTTCCTTTATTTTACTTCCTTTACTTTTCCTGGAGAAAAGAAGGCTGGGGGGTGACCTCCAACCTTTCAATACCTAAAGGGAAGGAGGAGAACCAACTCTTTGAAAGGGTAGATAACAGCAGGATAAGGGGAAATGGTTTTAGGTTGAGGGAGGGAAGATTGAGGTTGGATGTCAGGGGGAAGTTCTTTACTATGAGAGTGGTGAGGTGCTGGCACAGGCTGCCCAGAGAGGTTGTGGATGCCCCGTCCCTGGAGGTGTTCAAGGCCAGGTTGGATGGAGCCCTGGGCCCTGGTTGGTGGCCCTGCATGTGGTGGGGGGTTGGAGATTCGTGATCCTCAAGGTCCCTTCCAACCCTGGCCATTCTGTGATTCTGTGATTTACAGAAGGAAGGGCAAGATGAAAGTGTAATGAGCACAGGAGAAATAACAGGGTGAAAAGGGAGGAATATTGTTTAGTGCTCAGACTTGTAATGCTTTGCGTTTGTGTGGAAGATAGATTGAGATTTCTGCTTTCTGACTAACTGCTGTGCTGAGACGTGCTTTATTCCATGTCCTTTTTTGCCTTCCTGTGGTTGCTTCTAAAAAAGGGTTGAAATTATCTTTCTGAGGCAACCTAAATCACAAAGTGCTCTATCTCCCTCATTGTTCTGTCTTCCTAACCTAGCCATCTAAAAACACTGCTGGAAACACAAATAATAAAAAAGCCAGTTATATATGTATATATATATATATATATATATATATATATATATATATATTTGCTGTTGTTAATTCCACTCACTGGCATTTGGGACAGAGGACAGCATACAGAAAGGCTGTAACACTGAACGGTGGCAAAAATTCTGTGCAAAACCTTGTTGTAATAACGATGGAAGTGAAAATTAGCCTCGTTTTTCAAGTTGTTTTTTTTGTCAAGTTCTTGTCCACACCGTGTTCGAGGCTGTTCATTCTAGATGGAACACTTATAGCCAATACTTTATATACCATCCTCAAAGAGCAATGTGAAATATAAGTGATTGTCTAAATCCAGAAGAGGTTTATCCATCTCTACATCAGTTTGTCAGAATTTAAATGGAAAGTGAGACTGAACAGGAAACTGTAAATATATTAAAATATATTATGAAAATATAAATACATAAACTCTAACTGCTAATTTATCATCATCCAACCGGACTTGGCGAAGTCACTTCATAAGCAAATGTAGGTATAGATCAACAGACTACTCACATGAGCCTTTGTTACAGGTTAGACATCAGTGTACGGATTTCATCCATGATCTGTAATAAAATAACATAAATCAGGAAGATGGCAAAAGAGGTTTAATTCATTAGTTTGTTCATTTGTATGTCTACATGTTTCTAAAGAGTATATATGGCCTTAAAGCAGAGTAAATTGGGAAAGTATGGGGTTTTTTTTAACTGCACAATTAATGTTTATATAACGAGTAGTTCTGGTCTTCATGAGTTATAATGCTAAAAACTTGTTTATTTTTAAACAAACCTCCTGTTTTCTGACATTCACTTGGTGCTATGCATAAAACACCTCAGCTGTCCACCTGAGCACCACTACATTGTCACTGAGCCCTTAGCTGATGCACGGCAGAGTGCATCCCTACAAAACTGGGAACAGAAATGGGTGGTGCAAGGACAGCACTTATGGTGCCAATTCACAATTAATTTTTGGGTGATAACATCTACTTCTTGGAAGGTAGAACAGCTCAGTATTAATTTCTACTAATGGAAAGACACAGGCCTTCGTAAGAAGTACGCTACGAATTGCTGTGTTACAGGATTCATTTTCATGGGTAGTGTCTGTGCCATTGCACAGGAGAATTTGGACAGCAGTCTGTAAGGGCACCCAGTAACGGTAAGAAG